GTAGCTGAACGTATTGCAACTGAACTGGGGGAGAATGTCCCACCTCTGCCTGACCGAAAGACGCCATCCCTTTTGATGTCACCATCGCCTGTCATGTGTGGTGGTGATTGGCCCCTTCTAAGGGTCATGCGAGGCATTTTTGAAGGGGGCCTTGACAATATTGGTCAGGCTTCTGCTGACGAAGAGTATGAGGCTGCTGATGGGGATTGGGGTGAGGAGCTTGACATGGTTGATGTGGATGGTTTACAAAACGGAGATGTTTCTGCAATTTTGGAGGATGGAGAAGTGCGTGAAGATAATGATGAAGAGGGTGGATGGGAGATGGAAGATTTGGAGCTGCCTCCGGAAGCTGACACTCCAAAAGCTTCCTCCGGTATGCGATCTTCAGTTTTTGTTGCCCCACAATCTGGCATGCCGGTAAGCCAGATATGGATACAGAGGTCATCTCTTGCGGCTGATCACGCTGCTGGTGGCAATTTTGAAACTGCAATGAGGCTGCTGAACCGACAACTTGGGATTAAAAATTTTGCCCCCTTGAGACCCATGTTTCTCGATCTTTATAGCAGCAGTCATTCCTATCTGCTTGCATTTTCATCTGCTCCAATTATAACACTTGCAGTTGAAAGAGGTTGGACTGAGTCATCTAGTCCAAATGTAAGAGGCCCACCTGCTCTTTCTTTCAAATTGTCCCAATTGGATGAAAAACTCAAAGCTGGTTATAAGTTAACAACGGCCGGGAAATTCACTGAATCTCTACGGACATTTATTAATATCCTTCATACAATTCCTTTGATCGTTGTTGAGTCGAGGAGAGACGTGGATGATGTGAAGGAGCTGATTATCATTGTCAAAGAGTATGTTTTGGGTCTGAAGATAGAGCTGAAGAGGAGGGAAATTAAGGACGACCCAGCGCGTCAGCAGGAACTTGCAGCATATTTCACCCATTGCAACCTTCAGACCCCTCACTTGAGGCTGGCTTTGCTGAATGCAATGTCTGTCTGCTACAAGGCAAAGAACCTTGCCACAGCTGCTAACTTTGCCAGGAGGCTACTTGAGACCAATCCTACTATTGAAAACCAAGCTAAGACTGCTAGGCAAGTACTGGCAGCTGCAGAAAGGAATATGACTGATGCCACACACTTGAACTATGATTTCCGAAACCCATTTGTCACTTGTGGTGCAACCTATGTACCAATTTATCGAGGACAGAAGGACATCTCCTGCCCATATTGCATGTCCCGTTTTGTGCCAAGCCAGGAGGGGCGGCTTTGTGCCGTGTGTGATCTCGCGGTGATTGGTGCAGACGCTTCTGGATTACTCTGTTCACCTTCCCAAGCGAGGTGATTGCTCTGTCGGTGTATAGGAGCATTTTTCAACTCATTACTGTTCAGTTTTCTGCAGAAGATACAAGCCCATTGGTCAACTAATATTTCCTCGTAGAGATTAGGTATAGTCCGGAAGAATACTGTTTGAGTGAATTTCTTTATTTTGTCTTTTAAAAAACAAAAAATACTTTTCTCCTTTTACTTCCCCTTTCTATTGAATTGAAATTTTTTTTCCTCATTGTAATAAAACTGTCATACTTTGGGTGGGGTTAGTTTTCCGTACAGAAAGGAGTGAAGGGCCGCAATTAGATCAGACGATGGGTTCTGGGGTACCAAACTTGCTTGAGTTGCGGTTCTTGCAGAATTATTCGGCACATTACATTTCATTTGTGTTTAATTTAGTTGAGATTTCATTCATTTAGTTGTAAGACAGTGCTGCTTCTGTCATAGTTAAATAACTCCCTATTCTTTATTTGATTCAGTGCCACTTCATTGATCATCAGTGCTCTATGATTAGTAATGAATTGTAATCTGTCTTTAACCTTAGCCTTTTTTTTTTTTTAACTGTAGATGATTATTGGTTGCCCTTAATTCACTGTGTTATACTCCCTCTGCTCCTAAATATAAAATCTATTTTATAGTGCAATTTATACTATAAAACAAGTTTTATGTTTAGGACCGGGGAGTATATATTACACACAATCATTCATCACTAGATCTGACTTAATGTCAGGATTTGAATTTTATTTTACTTAGAAACTTGTCGGACTTCTCGAGTTTTACCTTCGTGTTGAAATTTCAGAATTCTAACACGTCCATCTTGGATTCGTTAGAAGCCAGCGAACTGATACTGCCATATTGCAAGTAGCTCTTAATGGTGTCGCGGTTCAATATGATATGTGTGTAGCAGATCGGAAATCAGAAGTGGCTTAATTCTCTTGCTTTGAAGCCTTCCACCGAGGCCTCTTTCCATGGATGACGATGTCTGAATAAATTAAACATGGGTTACAGTGCAAATTTGTTTTAACGGTGAATGTTAAATTTCTTTAATGATATGGGATAATATTGCTACAATTTTAAATTTTCAGACAAATTTTCTCCTAAAAAACTTTCAAATATCTAAAACTCCTGAGTGTAAATTTTCAAAACAAATTTGTACCCTCACTTATTAAACATTAGCAGACTGCGTCGCCACCATTATCAAAATTCCATCTACATGATCAACCTTTTTTTTTTTACCTGTTCATGTGATTCCGTCCTTGACATGTCTTTTTTAAGTGTAACTGCCAATACTTTTTGTCATAATTTCATATCAACCTTTAAATTTGTAACGACAAAAATTGTTCTGTGAATTTTGTTGACTGAGATCTAATATAATTGCCCATGTGTAAGGTAAAAATGGTTTATTTTCAACGACAACTTCACTAATTTAATATTATATGTGTGTGTGTGTGTGTGTTGTCATGTCTTACAAGTTAGTATTTTGTTTCTGTAATCAAATACATCGTAATTGCTTTAGAAAATCAGGATACAATAATGTGCAAGGAGAGAGCAAATAATTTTGAACCCCGACTTGTTAGGAAATGTATGTTTTTGGTCTCTTTTAAATAAGTATAGGATACGAAACAAAAATAATTAATTGTTAATTTCTGAAAATAATATTTTGATCTAATAAAAGTTATGAAATTCAGCCAAACTAAAGTCCAAATTTTTTCATCCCAAAACAAACAGCACTTATTAGTCTAAAATCACGTTATTGCGATGAGACATGTATTTGCTCAAAGAGAAAAAGAAGGTAGGGAAGCACTATCTTTGTCAAGTCGGTATTGGTTTTTGTGGCCACAAGTTAAAAAATGTTAGTGTTGTAGCATCAAACGACACAAGACATCTGCAATTTATAAAACCATGCGTACAATCAGAGCATGTAATTTATTATAATAAGAAAGTCAATTTATGCTGCATGCAAAGTGTTTGTTTATTCGAAGTGCAGACAACACGGTTGAAGCATCTTTCAATTTCTTGTCCTCATCACTTCATTTACCCTCCATTATAAAATATGCTTCAGAACACTATAATACTAATTTGGTCACATCGCCCTTGAAATAGAAGAGGAACAAATAACATGTATATGTCTACTTGTTTGTCTTTTTCTCCCCTTAATTATATACTACCTCCTGTGTTTAATATTAGAATTAGTTGACTAATTTGAATAGATTAATAAAGTTTGTTAAATTAGTTATTTATAATAAATAAGTGTTATCTTTATTAAAATATCCTCACTAATCATGTGTATTAATTTGGTCACGTCTCCCTTAAAATTAATAGAATAGGAACAAATAACATGTGTCTACCTACTCATTTATTTTTTTTTCCCCTTAACTATATACTACATTTGATCCTTATTATTAGAGTTAGTTGACTAATTTGAGTAGATTAGTTTTATTTATAATAAATATGGTGTTATCTTTCTTAAAATACCCTTACTAATTATGTGTATTGGTTAGAACTATTATTTGCTAAAATTTTTAACATGTGCAATTATTGTAAAAACTACTTTGAAAAAATAAATAAATATGAGAGATAAAGTAGATTGAGCTATTTTAGGACTAAATTGAATGTCAAAATAGTTTTTATATTAAGTAGCAAACATAATATATTTTTACAACACCCCCTCGTGATTAACTCTAATACTCTATAATCTCCAGTTTGTCCTTTAATGTAATGACGTACCCACAAAAAATACACCCACTATAATTTCGCCCAAAAAAGATCGAATTGATCTTTGGATCAAGTGCGTGCGGATAGTTTAAATACTTATTATTCAACATCAAAGAGAAAATCAAAGGGTTTAAAAGACAGTCACATGAAATCTTAGAGGATATTTTTACATTCTTTCATTATATTTAGAATAAAATATATATTTAGTCCTTTAACTTTACAAAGAATTTTAATTTAATTCATTAACTTTAAAAAATATGCCTTTAGTCCTTTGACCTTAAAACTATCAACAAAAAATAATAACATTGAGATCCTAAATATTGATAAAAATGCTCAAATGCTAAGATATTAAGTTTATTTTTCAAAACAACTATGATTGTTATAAAAAAATCATCATTTAAGTATAATAATTTTAGGATTAAAGGATCAAATGTATTCTTTTTAAAGTTAAGGAACCAAATCAAAACCTTATATAAAGTTAGAAGACTAAATATATACATTAGCCTTGTAGCCTTATATTTATGTATAAATGACCACTTCCAAATAAACGGAAAGACTCTACTTACTATGAGCATGAAAGTGTATAAAAGCCATCTTGATATGTGAAAAAACACAAAATTTAAGTGGCAATTGAAGTAAAATATCGCTGCGCACACACACACACAGTTTCTCCCTATATACCTAGTAGACTTGTGCTATCTCCTTTGTAAGTTCTTATACTACTAATGATGTTTTGCACACAATAGATGTGGTTCTACACACATCAACGACTGTCAAAATTTCAAATCAAGAGTTGTATAGATCATAGGCTAAATTCTTCAATTCAAGTTACTCTATATGCCACAATCTTAAATCAACATACTGGTCACACACACACGCACGCGCACACACAAATCGGGCTTTGATTCGTATATATGATTCAAACTAGAATTGATTCTGAATAGCTTGCCATGGCGTAAATGCAATAATTGTATTATTCCTGGACTCAGTACAAATGCTCATATATAAATAATATAATTCTTCCAAACTTAAAAAGAAGAAAGTTCTTGCTTCCTTTTAGACCCATCATCATCATCACAGAGAGACTAAAATAAAGGTGAAGAAGAAACCAGGAAGAAGAAGAGTGATCTTTGAAAACACATCTTACATTTGATCCTGCGAATTATGGAAGGAGAAGAAGTACTGAGGAGCAAGTGCCAAGACTGCGGGAACCAAGCGAAGAAAGGTTGTGAGTATGAGAGATGTAGAACTTGCTGCAACATCAGAGGGTTTGAGTGCGAAACACATGTTCACAGCACTTGGGTTCCTGTAGATCACCGAAGACGCCATAAGGAGCATCATCCTCCTTTCCCCAAAAGGCACAAACACAACAACCCTAATTATCCAGCAGGTTTGCCCTAATTAACTCCTTATTTCTCACTATTCATCACTTCCTCTACTCTGGCTCATTAATTTGGCTGCAACTAGATTAATTCAAACCCATATTTCTCAGTTCTGCTTCAGTAAGACCCAGAAAATAGACTCAGCCTGCACCTATACTGGACTCAGAAATCTAGTTCTGGGTTGATAATTAACGATTAATATAACCTAAGAAATTGTATGCCATGAATCTTGAATTGTGTGTAGTTTGTTTCAGATAAAAAGGAGTTGAAGTTTCCAGGTTTGGTGAGCATGACGGCGACGTTTCGATGCGTACGAGTGCGATCAAATGATGACTGGGTGAATGAATTAGCGTACCATGCGTCGGTGAGGATTGGAGGGCATGTGTTTTGCGGTCTTCTTCATGATCAAGGCCCTTCTCTTGCTCAGACTTCCTCAGTCCCTCTTCTTCAGCATAACAATCTAATCAACGTAGCAACACAGACGACCCATAATATTGATCCCGCAACAATGGCTCCTCCATTATCATCTTCTTCTGCTCGTGACTCTATCTTTCATCCAACACACCCTTTTCCCCTACCACCTTCTATGCCTTATTTCTCCATCCCCCAACCGTAATTAGTTTCATCTTATTTTCTCTCAACTCAAGCCACAAGAGAGAGAGAGACAGGGCATTAATTATAGGTACTATTTGGCACGAATCATTAAAAATGAGGGATAGAAATTGAAAATATAATATTTAGTATAAGAGATTATTTGTTACATAGAATTAAACAAATTCATGTGTGTGGAATTGAGGAATACCATGAGGAGAAATGATATTCCCCAATCCTACTTTTATGGGTTTGCTTAATTCCATATAACAAGCAATCACTCATGCTAAAGACTTTTCTAATATTTTTTTTTCAATTGTAATCATAATTCCTATCACTCATTTTCAATGCTTCATATTAAACGAGACCATAGAGTATTTAATAATTGGTGGGTGATTTACATAGTTGATTTAGCTCCCTTCTTTTAGAGGCATTAACAATTGTTTTTGCTCATTAATTGATGCGATCTGCCAGTAGGCTGTAGCTATATCTAACTATATATATGTATATACTCGTATATGGGAGGATGTTTCTTCACTAAACTCAGACCATATATGTCTTTAAATATCTTTCATGGATTTTACTGGTGAAAGTCGAGAATTTAATCAATTTATAGATTTATTACGTGAATTTTGTTCTGTGAGTGAGATGATATAGTCGGGATATATAGCTCAAGTTCAAATTACTGGCTGAAACATTTTACAACCTTAGAGGAGAGTATATCAACGTTGATCTTCATTCTTCAAAGATTCTACCTCATGACTACGTCTGAGATTACAGGAGCTTCGCCCAGATATGTATGACCAGTTTAACCAATGGACTTTCCTTAGTTGTGTGTGAGAGATTACCAAATAATTAAAAGGATATGCAATTATATATATAATCCATTGCAAAATAACAGTGTATCGTATAAAAGTATGAGCAGTAGTTTATTTTAAAGTCTTGTAATAACTCATTTTATGTACGCTCGTTTCTTTTATTTTTCTGGATTTTCTTTTACAGAAAAGTTTAGCATTTATGTCCCTATACAATGTGGAGGTTTCGCAGTTTGCCTTCTTAGGTTCTAGTCATATCATGATCATGATGTTCTTACCGAACTTCGTGTCCCTTTTTATCTGTCCCCATCCTTTAATTTCATGGTGCGTACTTTCGCAGCTTACTAACAAGCAAAAGCAGTGACACACTAATTAATGATTAAGTAGTTTTAAATAATCAGTTCTGTATCACTTCGATCGGTTCGCGTCGTGTCTATATATACCTCAAACCCTAAAGAGTTTCCAGGTGCCTCAACGACGACATATAATCATAAATCACATGGCTAGAAGTTAATATCCTGTTTGAAGAGCCAAGTATTCTTCGAACCTAACTAGCTTGCTTAAAGATGAATGGCCAGTAAACATGACACCAGAAAGTTTAAAACAATGGACGTACGCAGAGATTTAGAATCTTGATCAGTTCTATGCTTCAAAACATGAGAAAAAGGAAACATGGCATCTCTTATGTTTAGCCTTCTGGGAAAGCACGCCGAACCATCTTATTTATACCAGATTCATGTTTCGCATGAAAAATGAACATCTTATTAGAATAAGACCATAAAAAAGAAAGCTGCACATTTTAATGGAATGCATGAGCAGACATAATGAATAAAAGATATAGTTTCATGAGGAGGTAGGGGGAGCCACACAAGATTAATAAACATGCATTAAAAAAACAGCTGGAAAAAGAGAAAAAGGTAATGAGAGGTTAAGCATCTAAGTGGGGAATGAGTTGAAGTTAGCTTTTATGGTAAAGCAGCACATAACCTGTGTGCGCTCTCATAGCTTTTAACGGAAAAGATGGACTCACACTTTGCTTCAAGGAATTGATTGATGCCCTTTCAATTATGACACAGAGGCTTATTATTAGGAATATATCCCCAATTTTACTTCAACAGGTGGAGCCCTGCATACCAAATTTAAGCCTTGCGGGCCATCCTTATAATACTTATACACCCCATAAATGCATCCATTTGGAATCACACTACCACTTCTTTTACAGTACGCTTGCTGATATATGTCAATATTATAGTAGATTCAATAAATATCGCTGGCAGGCCAAAAAAAAAAAAGGGATTCAATAAATATCACTTTGGCCAACAACAAAAAATCAATAAATATCGCTATATGATACTACCTTCGGTATTTAATATAGGACCTTGTTTGACTTTTATTTTGATCCTAAATATAAGACTACAATCCACTTTGTCTCTAATATTTATGTATTTTTTTAAAAGATAGTCCTTCTAATAATGGTAGTTCTGACTAATACACTTGATTAGCAAGGATATTTTAGGAAAGACAATATCTATTTATGACAAATAACTAACTTGACTTCTTTTTCTAATCTCCTCAAATAAGTCAACTAGCTCTTATAATCAGGACTGGAGGTAGTATATAGCAGGGCTTACTATTCCAAATTATGTGCACAATACATAAAATTTGGTCGCCCAGATTGTATATTGGATTCGTGTCTAGAACATTGCGTTTACAGAAGCAAAGCTGCAGAAGAAAAGGAAAGAGCAGCGAAGGTAACTCCTAAAGCGCGTGTCGATGACTCAGTTGCTGTAGTGCTAATTGCCTAATTCGAATTTTCTTTGTTTATAAAAAATAATTGTGTATGGGATATTTGCGTAGAACTTGAGACATAAATAATTTTAATATATAAAGGCGAGATATTAAATTTAAATTGGTTGGTAGCATTAAAAACTAAATGATTGTTCAAGAAAATCCTCCAATAAATTAGAATTTTTTTTCTTTCCTTTTTTGTCTATCTACTAAATCAGAAATTTTGGGTCAGAATAAGTGTGAAATGCAAATCACTAAACTGTATCCGTTGTCATTTATCCGCTTTATGATGTCATGCTTCTACCGGTCCATAACATGGACGCGGGCCGTTCTCCGGCCTCTTACTATTACATATTCAGAGCCCAAATTCAAACAAGCTCAGCCCAAATTTTCTGGCGGGAAAATCATATCTTCGTCCCGCCATATCTAGCGGCAGAATGCCTTAGGAGCTCCACTTCCCCTCCTCTCTCTCTATTGGTGTGCTTGTTCCTTTCACAAATAGTCATGGCTTCCGATTCTTCTCCGACGAATTTCAACAACGGTTGGCATCTCTCCTCCTAGTTTCTTCTTAGGATTTAATTTCTGTTTGTATGCTCACGGCTTTCGCCAAATTGTGCAGGTCCTTCCTCTCCCGATGATTCATTTTCCAGCCCAATCGGCAACACATTATCCTCTCCCGGAGATGCTGCTCGCAACAGAGGGCGCCGGCGTTCGTCGACACCGTCTGCCTTCGCAACTCCCCCCTCTAATCGATCTCGATTCGCCTCCTCCGATGCGACCCCAACTCCATCGAGGTCCAGGCAAAGGGGAGGTGGTCGGAGAGCGTCCATGTCTACCCCTGTTGCAGCCACGCCCACATCCACTGATGACGTTCCTATGTCATCAGAAGGCGGAGAGGGCTACAATGCAGACGATATTAGGCCTACCTTCGTCTGGGGTACTAATATAAGCGTCGAAGACGTGAACGAGGCGATTCAGAGGTTTTTAAAGCACTTCAGAGAGCAGTCATCTCAGAGCGATGGGCTGCATATGGAGGGGAAATATGAGACGGCTATCAAACAAGTCATTGAAATTGAGGGAGATTCACTAGACGTCGACGCACACGATGTATTTGATTATGATCCGGACTTGTACACCAAAATGGTCAGATATCCTCTCGAGGTTCTTGCAATTTTTGATTTGGTTCTGATGAATATGGTTAGTAGAATCAACCCGTTGTTCGAGAAGCACATTCAAACTCGAATTTTTAATCTAAAAACCTCGACTTCAATGAGGAATTTGAATCCATCTGGTGAGTTTGGTTTATCATTCAGTCTTCTTTGCTAACTTTAATGTGGCGCTCGTATGATATTACGAATGGCCTGTTAAGAATGCTTGTTTTTTCCTCAGATATTGAGAGGATGGTATCATTGAAGGGAATGATCATTCGATGTAGCTCCATTATACCAGAAATTAGGGAAGCTATATTTAGATGTCTCGTGTGTGGATACTGCTCAGAACCGGTTGCCGTGGAGAGAGGTAATTATAATGGACATTTCTAATTATTCCTTAATGATCAATCTATGTCATTTCACATCGTTATAATTTGATGACTTTTTTTCAGGGCGAATAAATGAACCTACTAAATGTCTGAGAGAAGAGTGTCAAGCCAGGAACTCCATGACACTGGTTCACAACCGATGCAGGTAATGCAACCAGTAGCTTTTTTGTGGGAAAAGAACAAGTAATTTGATGTTTGGAAGAGTTTTTATTGCTATTGGATGAATAAGCCGATTCATGAAGGAATCAGATTTGGAAGTCTGTATCAATGCTAGTCATTTTCTTTTGCCATTATATTAAAATCAGTATCAGCGGCACAATTGAAAGGATTCTGGTGAACTGAAAATAAGCACATGACTGGTGACTCATAATTGTCCATGTGCTTTTAAGCTAGTGGTTGTATTAATGTACATGTTCTGAAATTAAGAACTTAAAAAATCCAGTACTGGATCATCATTCTAGTGAAAAGAGTTTGACCTTTTCTATGACGATAAACAAAAACTTTCTATCTTCAGTCCAGATGATTGTTAACTGCTTTCAAGTCTTGTGCAGTGATCCAGCTGGAGCCTAAAAATAAAATCTCAGACGTCTTGTCATGAAGACTCACTGAGTTCATTCTTGTATTTTAAGACACATGCATTGCTTGATGGTAGGCTTAGATCAGTACAGTTTCTAGAAATCAAATCGTGGGATGGATACAACTATAGATGCAATATAAAGGGGATGAGGGTTGCAGCCAACATGTTTATATTGCATTTTTTATTTATTTCACAGCTACTCCTCATTTGTGGTTAGGTTAGAGTTTAGTTCTAGTAACTATGGAACTTAATAGGTCTTTCCTCAAAACTCAGTTTCACAGACAAACAAATTGTGAGGCTTCAGG